ACAACAACAACAACAACAACAACAACAACAAAACAACAACACACAACAACAACAACAAACAACAACAACAACAACAACAAACAACAACAACAACAACAACACAACAACAACAACAACAACAACAACAACAACAACAACAACAACAACAACAACAACAACAACAACAACAAAACAACAACAACAACAACAACAACACAACAACAACAACAACAACAACAACAACAACACAACACAACAACAACATTATTATTATTAATAATAGAAGGAAATTGTACAAAATACGAGGGAGTGGTTGACACATCGTCAGTGTGACTTTGTTTATGCTGGATGTGAACATTAGTCTCCCTGCTCTTCCAAACATTTCACAATAATTCAGCGGTTGAGGCAGTGGTATTTAATAACATATATGTTATAAATATAATAGTAATGTTATTATTAATAACATGTATTATTATTAACATGTATGTATTTAATAACATATATGTTATAAATAAAAATAGTACATATTATTAATAACATGTATTATTATTAACATGTATGTTATTAAATACCATTGCCTCAATCACTGCCTCTACCACTTCAGTCACACTCAATCTACAAGCACCAAACACAATGAATTATTGTGAAATGTTTGGAAGAGCAGGGAGACTAATGTTCACTCCAGCATAAACAAAGTCACACTGACGATGTGTCAACCACTCCCTCGTATTTTTGTACAATTTCCTTCTTCAATTATATCATATTTATTATTTTTTTTTTCAACAAGTCGGCCGTCTCCCACCGAGGCAGGGTGACCCAAAAAAGAAAGAAAATCCCCAAAAAAGAAAATACTTTCATCATCATTCAACACTTTCACCACACTCACACATTATCACTGCTTTTGCAGAGGTGCTCAGAATACAACAGTTTAGAAGCATATACGTATAAAGATACACAACATTATTTTTTTATTATCACACTGGCCGATTCCCACCAAGGCAGGGTGACCCGAAAAAGAAAAACTTTCACCATCATTCACTCCATCACTGTCTTGCCAGAAGGGTGCTTTACACTACAGTTTTTAAACTGCAACATTAACACCCTTCCTTCAGAGTGCAGGCACTGTACTTCCCATCTCCAAGACTCAAGTCCGGCCTGCCGGTTTTCCTGAACCCCTTCATAAATGTTACTTTGCTCACACTCCAACAGCACGTCATGTATTAAAAACCATTTGTCTCCATCAATCCTATCAAACACGCTCACGCATGCCTGCTGGAAGTCCAAGCCCTCGCACACAAACCTCCTTTACCCCCTCCCTCCAACCTTTCCTAGGCCGACCCCTACCCGCTTCCTTCCACTACAGACTGATACACTCTTGAAGTTATTCTGTTTCGCTCCATTCTCTCCACATGTCCGAACCACCTCAACAACCCCTCCTCAGCCCTCTGGACAACAGTTTTGGTAATCCCGCACCTCCTCCTAACTTCCAACTACGAATTCTCTGCATTATATTCACACCACACATTGCCCTCAGACATGACATCTCCACTGCCTCCAGCTTCTCCTCGCTGCAAATTCATCACCCATGCTTCACACCCATATAAGAGCGTTGGTAAAACTATACTCTCATTACATTCCTCTCTTTGCCTCCAAGGACAAAGTTCTTTGTCTCCACAGACTCCTAAGTGCACCACTCACTCTTTTTCCCTCATCAATTCTATGATTCACCTATCTTTCATAGACCCATCCGCTGACACATCCACTCCCAAATATTGAATACATTCACCTCCTCCATACTCTCTCCCTCCAATCTGATATTCAATCTTTCATCACCTAATCTTTTTGTTATCCTCATAACCTTACTCTTTCCTGTATTCACCTTTAATTTTCTTCTTTTGCACACCCTACCAAATTCCTCCACCAATCTCTGCAGCTTCTCTTCAGAATCTCCCAAGAGCACAGTGTCATCAGCAAAGAGCAGCTGTGACAACTCCCACTTTGTGTGTGATTCTTTATCTTTTAACTCCATGCCTCTTGTCAAGACCCTCGCATTTACTTCTCTTACAACCCCATCTATAAAATATATTAAACAACCACGGTGACATCACACATCCTTGTCTAAGGCCTACTTTTATGGGAAATAATTTCCCTCTTTCCTACATACTCTAACTTGAGCCTCACTATCCTCGTAAAAACTCTTCACTGCTTTCAGTAACCTACCTCCTACACCATAACACTTGCAACATCTGCCACATTGCCCCCTATCCACCCTGTCATACGCCTTTTCCAAATCCATAAATGCCACAAAGACCTCTTTAGCCTTATCTAAATACTGTTCACTTACATGTTTCACTGTAAACACCTGGTCCACACACCCCTACCTTTCCTAAAGCCTCCTTGTTCATCTGCTATCCTATTTCTCCGTCTTACTCTTAATTCTTTCAATAATAATTCTACCATACACTTTACCAGGTATACTCAGCAGACTTATCCCCCTATAATTTTTGCACTCTCTTTTTATCCCTTTGCCTTTATACAAAGGAACTATGCATGCTCTCTGCCAATCCCTAGGTACCTTACCCTCTTCCATACATTTATTAAATAATTGCACCAACCACTCCAAAAACTATATCCCACCTGCTTTTAACATTTCTATCTTTATCCCATCAATCCCGGCTGCCTTACCCCTTTCATTTTACCTACTGCCTCACAAAACTTCCCCACACTCACAACTGGCTCTTCCTCACTCCTACAAGATGTTATTCCTCCTTGTCCTATACATGCAATCACAGCTTCCCTATCTTCATCAACATTTAACAATTCCTCAAAATATTCCCTCCATCTTCCAATACCTCTAACTCTCCATTTAATAACTCTCTCTCCTATTTTTAACTGACAAATCCATTTGTTCTCTAGGCTTTCTTAACTTGTTAATCTCACTCCAAAACTCTTCTTTATTTTCAACAAAATTTGTTGATAACATCTCACCCACTCTCTCATTTGCTCTCTTTTTACATTGCTTCACCACTCTCTTAACCTCTCTCTTTTTCTCCATATACTCTTCCCTCCTTGCATCACTTTACTTGTAAAAACTTCTCATATGCTAACTTTTTCTCCCTTACTACTCTCTTTACATTATCATTCCACCAATCGCTCCTCTTCCCTCCCGCACCACTTTCCTGTAACCACAACTTCTGCTGAACACTCTAAACATACATTTTTAAACCTTCCCATACCTCTTCGACCCATTGCCTATGCTCTCATTAGCCATCTATCCTCCAATAGCTGTTTATATCTTACCCTAACTGCCTCCTCTTTTAGTTTATAAACCTTCACCTCTCTCTTCCCTGATGCTTCTATTCTCCTTGTATCCCATCTACCTTTTACTCTCAGTGTAGCTACAACTAGAAAGTGATCTGATATATCTGTGGCCCCTCTATAAACATGTACATCTGAAGTCTACTCAACAGTTTTTATCTACTAATACATAATCCAACAAACTACTGTCATTTCGCCCTACATCATACCTTGTATACTTATTTATCCTCTTTTTCTTAAAATACGTATTACCTATAACTAAACCCCTTTCTATACAAAGTTCAATCAAAGGGCTCCCATTATCATTTACACCTGGCACCCCAAACTTACCTACCACACCCTCTCTAAAAGTTTCTCCCACTTTAGCATTCAAGTCCCCTACCACAATTACTCTCTCACTTGGTTCAAAGGCTCCTATACATTCACTTAACATCTCCCAAAATCTCTCTCTCCTCTGCATTCCTCTCTTCTCCAGGTGCATACACGCTTATTATGACCCACTTCTCGCATCCCAACCTTTACTTTAATCCACATAATTCTTGAATTTACACATTCATATTCTCTTTTCTCCTTCCATAACTGAATCATTTAACATTACTGCTACCCCTTCCTTTGCTCTAACTCTCTCAGATACTCCAGATTTAATCCATTTATTTCCCCCACTGAAATCTCCTACCCCTTCAGCTTTGTTTCGCTTAGGGCCAGGACATCCAACTTCTTTTCTTCATAACATCAGCAATCATCTGTTTTCTTGTCATCCGCACTACATCCACGCACATTTAAGCATCCCAGTTTTATAAAGTTTTTCTTCTTCTCTTTTTTAGTAAGTGTCTACAGGAGAAGGGGTACTAGCCCATTGCTCCCGGCATTTTAGTCGCCTCATACGACACGCATGGCTTACGGAGGAAAGATTCTTTTCCACTTCCTCATGGACAATAGAAGAAATACAGAAGAACAAGAGCTATTTAGAAAAAGGAGAAAAACCTAGATGTATGTATATATATATGCATGTGCGTGTCTGTGAAGTGTGACCAAAGTGTAAGTAGGAGTAGCAAGATATCACTGTTATCTAGCGTGTTTATGAGACAGAAAAAGAAACCAGCAATCCTACCATCATGCAAAACAGTTACAGGTTTCTGTTTCACAGTCATCTGGCAGGACGGTAGTACTTCCCTGGGTGGTTGCTGTCTACCAACCTACTACACAACATATTTATTATTATTATTGTTATTATTAGCTGTAGCAGAAATGTTTAATTCTTTGCAATGTTCAAGAGTAAACACATGATGTCATCGTCTAATACCTGTCCGAATAGCCATTCCAATATGCAGTCATGAATGGGTTTACATTATTTATACTGTAGTTTAATAGCAAATAATGAACAAACAAAACACTCACCACACTGAGTGGTGGGAGGGCTGGCTGCCAGTTGCGGGGGTCGGAGGGAGGGTAGTAGGGACTCGCAGGTGGCGGGAAACTTAAATATGATTTGGCGGCTGGGAATTTGGTGGCTGGGAATTTGGTGGCTGGGAATTTGGCAGTTGGGAATTCGCGAATGTGTGAAGCCCGTGAAAGTTGAAAACGTGAATGTTGAGGGAGACCTGTAATTGAATGAATGATGGTGAATGGGTTTCCTCTTTTTTGAGTAGCCCTACCTAGGTGTGAAAAATAAAAATCATACTTAAGCCATTGTAACACTTCACCTTTGGTTCCATCTTCTCTATTATATGCAACAAGTCGGTACTGCAGGACGGCGTGTTGTTTAGAGCAGGACGGGTGGTCGGTTGGAATGTCTGCCACCTTGCGATCACGGCCAATAAGGTAAGCACTCTGACGGTGTAGTGGAAGAAATGGAAGGTCCTCTTCACCTTTGAATATATACCTGTATAAATGAATATAAGCACGTGTTATACTTTACTATTACATATTAATTAATTTTGGGGGAAAAATTAATGAAAGTAGAAGACAAAGAAAACTAACATTATCAACCCTAGAGCTAATAACACAGTAATTAAAAATGAAATGTGGTTTATTGGTAACCCATTGGGGTACCTAGTTCACCTCTAAGGATGTAACCCATAACAGTCAACTAATACCTAGGTACCTATTTACTGCAAGGTAACAAGAGTAATATAAAGAGACTTCCATTGACTGAATCTGGATTCAACTGTGACCCAAATGCACTACCACTATTCTACAAGGTAGAAGTTTTTCTCCTTTTACTTGCTCTTTCCAATGTCAAATCAGCACAGATTAATCATCAGTTCTGCCACGCTTTCCTAAATCACAAACTCAAAACTTTTTTTTTTTTTTGCACTCTGATGTTTCCTCTACATAAGAGAGATGCTGTCTTCCAGTCATTACCTGCAATACTAAGCTTAAGAAAGATTTATCAATATGATTTTGATCAAGTGATGCAAAGCAGCACACAAAGATCAGAATGCTCCATCACAGAAAGAGAAAGATACTTCAATATGTAAAGGTGAGAGATGGGCACAAACATAACGGGGTTTCACAGTGCCTGGGAGCAGCTCCAGTTCACCAAGTCAGGAGCTCTTCACCAGCATGAAGGCACCCTTCTTGAAGGGCACAATAAAAGGTAAAATAAAATTTAACTCGTAAATTGTCCACACCCCTCAATACGAAAGCCCCCTGTGTTTACACAAATTAAAAAAAAAAAATTACCTTCTAAAGTTTTTTTTTTCAACAAGTCGGTTGTTTCTCACCGAGGCAGGGTGACCCAAAAAGAAAGAAAAAACTTTTATCATCATTCAACACTTTCATCATCACTCATACATAATCAGTCTTTGCAGAGACGCCCAGATACAACAGTTCAGATGTCCCTCCAAACTGCCAATATCCCAAACCCCTCCTTTAAAGTGCAGGCATTGTACTTCCTATTTCCAGGACTCAAGTTCGGCTAACCGGTTTTCCTGAATCCCTTCACACAATATTACCTTGCTCACACTCTAACAGCTCATCAGGTCCCAAAAACCGTTTGTCTCCATTCAATCCTATCTAACACGCTCACGCATGCTTGCTGGAAGTCCTCGCCCACAAAACCTCCTTTAACCTTCCCTCCAACCTTCTGGGGGCCGACCCCTACCCCGCCTTCTTTACCCTACAGATTTATACACTCTCCAAGTCATTCTACTTTGTTCCATCCTCTCTGGATGACCAAACTATCTCAACAGCCCCTCTTCAGCCCTCTGACTAATACTTTTAGTAACTCCACACCTCCTCCTAATTTCCACACTACAAATTCTCTGAATAATATTTACACCACACATTACCCTTAGACAGGACATGTCTACTGCCTTCAGCCTCCTCCTCGCTGCAGCATTTACAACTCATACTTCACACCCATATAAGAGTGTTGGTACCATTATACCCTTGTACATTCCCTTCTTTGCCACCATGGATAACGTTGTTTGTCTCCACAGATACCTCAATGCCCCACTCACCTTTCTTCCTTCATCAATTCTATGATTAACTTCATCCTTCATAAACCCATCTGCTGACAAGTCAACTCCCAAATATCTGAAAACATTCACTTCTTCCATACTCCCTTCCTCTAATGTGATATCCAATTTTTCTCTATCTAAATCGTTTGATCTCCCCATTACCTTACTCATATGTAAATTCACTTTCAACTTTCTACCTTTACACACCCTCCCAAATTTGTCCACTAACCTTTGGAACTTTTCTTTAGAATCCTCCAAAAGCACAGTATCATCAGCAAAATGTAACTGTGTCAAATCCCATTTTGTATTCAATTCCCCATAATTTATTCTCACCCCTTTCCCCAATACCCTAGCATTTACTTCTTTTACAACCCCATCTATAAATATGTTAAACAACTATGCTGACATTACACATCCCTGTTTAAGACCTACTTTTACTGGGAAGTAGTCTCCCTCTCTTCTACACACCCTAACCTGAGCCTCACTATCCTCATAAAAACTCTTTACAGCATTTAGTAACTCACTACCTTTTCCATACACTTGCAACATCTGCCATACTGCTCCCCTCTCCCCTATCATATGCCTTTTCAAATTCCATAAATGTAATGAAAATTCCATAAAAAAAATTTAAGAAATACAGAATTACACAGGTGCAATGTTGGAGGTCTAGAAGCAATTTGCATTCAGTAATTTCACCCATAATGAGGACTATCTTAGGCCAATCTAGCAAATATTTCCTCCATACTATCGTTGATCACAGGAAACTGCTCATTCAGCCATCAGAGCTACCCTATTAAGTGCAAAACAAAGTAGAAAATTTTGCCATTTTTAAACTACTTTCAACAAATTCAAATTCAAAACCAATCCAAAACAAGCACTATGTACTCCAGCTGCTAAGGAACCTTTCCTCTGTTCAGTAATCATTTCACCAGGTTTATCCTACCTTTCATTTTGAATCCATCAACATAAACAATTACCTTTTTTTTTTCCCCCACTTGTCAGCTAATAAACTATAACCAAGAAAGTCTGGTCATGGTTTAAGCAATCCCAATAATTGATGCAGACCTATAAAAAAAATACCTAAAACAGACTAGGGGGTAAGGGGGCCCCTGCCCTTTCTTCCTCCCCCAAAATTACCTAAAATCGTTCATTTCCGCCAATTTGAGGCCACTTCGTGTTACACTGACCAAAAATTTCTAGATAACAGCATTCTTCTGATCTATACACAGGTACAAAGAAACAGCCCATAAAATTACAAAAGCCGATCTAAAAAACACTCCAGTCTATATTTTAATCCAAACAAGGGTCAGAGATTAGCTGTTCCCACCATAAAGAATGCCATGACTAGAACAATACACAAATAACCCGCACGTAAGAAAAAGCTTATGACAACATTTCAGTCCAACTTGGACCAGTATATACCTAAGAGAGGCAGTATATACAGGCTCCCTCAACTTCGTGTGTTAGTGTGACTAATCAATGGTCCAAGTCAGACTGAAATGTCATCATATGTGTGGGTTATTTGTGCACTATGTGGAACACAATATTTTTTTTTATATTGCACACGCTCACTGCACAGACCTATTCTCTCATGTCTATGCTAAATTTTGTTGGTAACAAAAGGTCTGAAAGTACTATGGATTGTGTATACTAGTACATCATGTACTCTGACTGCTATGACCTAGTACATGATGGACAGCTTAAGATTTAAAAGAATTTGACCGTAAGTACCACAAAACAGGATAAACTTGACAGGTAAGTGGAAAAGAGAGGCTGACAACTTTATGAAAAGGCAAAACATGCAAACCTTATTATAACAATGTTTAACTCGAGAGAAGCTTTATCAAGTTATATGATAATGCCTGACATCAACTGATGTGTCTTCAACATCATTCCTCAGTTTGTTTAATGTAGAGCTCTCCTAAAGTGTATTGGTATTGGTGAGTATCAGCTAGTTTTGATGGTACTGGTATCAGCAAACATGTGGTATTATTCCGTCATTGGTTAAATGTCCTGGGTTTGTTTGCGTGATACAAATATTAAGTCACAACACAACACTGCTAAATACATTCATCCATTCATTAGGGATTTGCCGGTACTTCCGGCCCGGGTCTACTCCAGATGGTGACCCGGCGTGCTAAATACAGTGGACCCCTGCCTTACGATATTAATCCGTTCCTGAGAGCTCATTGTAAGTCGAAATTATCGTTAGCCGAATTAATTTTCCCATAAGAAATAATGGAAATCAAATTAATCCGTTCCTGACACCCCAAAGTATGAAAAAAAAAATTACCACATGAAATATTAATTTTAATACACACAAACTGAAGAAGACATACACAATTACTACTCTAGTAAGAATAGAATACATGACACTTACCTTTATTGAAGATCTGGTGATGACTGATGGGATGGGAGGAGGGGAGTGTGTGGGAGTTACTGTTTAGAAGGGGAATCCCCTTCCATTAGGACTTGAGGTAGCAAGTACTTTTCTGGGGTTACTTCCCTTCTTCTTTTAATGCCACTAGGACCAGCTTGAGAATCACTGGACCTCTGTCGCACAACAAATCTGTCCATAGAGCTCTGTACCTCCCATTCCTTTAAGACTTTCCTAAAATGGGCCATAACATTGTCATTGTACAGGTTGCCAACATGGCTTGCAGTAGCTGTGTCAGGGTGATTTTCATTCGTAAAGGTTTGCAGTTCAACCCACTTTGCACACATTTCCTTAATCTCTTTTTGCAATTCCATACTAATTCTCGCCCTTTTTACCACAGGGATGGCACTAGAAGCTTTCTTGGGGTCCATGGTGACTTATTTTGCAGTTACAAGCACTAAAAACACTGGGATAATGTGAAATGTACTGAATGTATGTGTAGATGTGACCACACTGGCGCTGAGGATGAATCACGTAAGGCGAGTTTTTTATCATGAGGCGAGGCAAAATTTTTACGTTCAAATGCTTCATATGGCGGATTTAATGTAACGCGATGCGTTCGTAAGGCGGGGGTCCACTGTAATAAGAAATTGCTATATTTTTACAAATAAAGTGAAACAAGATAAATGCAATACAGCTTTTGGTTAAATAGCCATAGAAAAATGCATTAAGCTTGTCAGTACTTGACAGGTATCTTACCATCTCCAGCGACGTTTGGGTTTCCTGGCCTCGGGTGGTTGAGAATATTTGATAACCACACCATTAAAAGTGTTGGCATCTTCAGTCAACTTCCCAGAAAGTCCCATATTAGGCTTATTCTTTTGCTTGTCCTCTTCAGATGCTGAATTTTCTTCCTTTAAATTCTTTACATCATTTTTCGTTCCCCAATCTGGCCTGAAAAAAAAAAACAATGAATTTGCAGTTAACAGTGATAAAATGCATTTATGTAATATAATAAAAAAAATGTTAAATTTGAAACAGACACAAAAATAGAAAATAAATGAAAAATACATTAGCAAGTATCAAGTTAACATGAAAAGGATTAAACAAATCTGCAGTTATTGTAATGATAATACAGTCAAGACAATTTTTCTTATTTTTAGTAATCTGTACAGGAAAAGGGGTAGGGGTCGTCCTTGAAAAAGTTGGAGGAAGGGGGTAAAGGAAGTTTTGTGGGTGAAGGGCTTGGACTTCCAGCAAGCATGCGTGAGTGTGTTACATAGGAGTGAATGGAGACAAATGGTATTTGGGACCTGACAAGCTGTTGGAGTGTGAGCAGGGTAATATTTAGTGAAGAGATTCAGGGAAACCGGTTATTTTTATATAGCCGGACTTGAGTACTGGAAACGGGAAGTACAATGCCTGCACTTTAAATGAGGGGTTTGGGATATTGGCAGTTTGGAGGGACATGTTGTATATCTTTATATGTATATGCTTCTAAACTGTTGTGTTCTGGGCACCTCTGCAAAAACAGTGATTGTGTGTGAGTGAGGTGAAAGTGTTAACCCTTTGACTGTTTCAGGCCCCTCTCTGAAACTGTCATTCTATGTCGCTCAATTTTTGAAAAAAAAAAAAATTATTTTTTCTTATGAAATGATAGAGAATCTTTTCCCGGTGGTAATGACACCAAAAGTTCGAAATTTGGTCGAAAACTCATGGAATTATGCTCCCGCGAATTTAGCGGTCTCGGCGACATATGCGTATCGGCGATTTTGCCGACTTTGAGCCCTATTTTCAGCCAATTCCATCGTTCCAGTTGACCAAACTCATAGCTATTTCTTTAGAACTCCATTTTATCTATCAGCTGAGTACAAGAAACCTCCCATTTACTAATCTGGACTACCCAACATGGTGGTCAGAAATTGGCAATTTGGCCAATTTCACGCAAACTAAAAAAGATGCCAATTTCAAAATAGGGTAGACATTTGTGGCACTAAAATAACATATGCTCTGTTCATTAGTCACATCTCTAGGCCCCTCTTATATTATTATTGCTTTCTATTTTGATTTTTTATTCATACAAAAAAATACAAAATTTACTGTTATGCAGGCTACTGCATTATTGTAAAAATGGTATAAATAATATCAGTGCACTAGTGAAAGAATATTAGACTCCCCAGTTGACGTGTATTGGACGTGTGGTGTGATTTATTTACTCCTGAACATTGGTAAAAATCGAACATTTCCGCTACTTTGAGCTCAGTTTCAAGGTCGTTTTCATCGTCAAAGTAATGAAAATCATCTCTATTTCTGTAATATGTTTTCCATTTTATCACCTAAGACCATGAAAACGTGAATACAACGATAAATACTATACGAAAATACACCTTAAAGTCGGCGTTTTATTCCAAAAAAATGATCAGAGTTTTTTTTTCCTCATTATGCAATGTGTGCTGCAGGATTTTTTTTATGTGGTGCACACTGACCACACAGACCCATTCTCTCACATGGGGGCCTACCAGCTTTCTCCCGCTTGATTTGAAGCCGCTAGAATTATTGAGTATATATACGTCAGAAACACTGGCTCGTAAGACGTATTTATACGTCGAAAACAGTCAAAGGGTTAATGATGATGAAAGAATTTTCTTTTTGGGGATTTTCTTTCTTTTTGGGTCACCCTGCCTTGGTGGGAGATGGCCGACTTGTTAAAAAAAAAAAAATACAATCAACCCTTGATGTAATGGGCTAGTAGAGAAGATTCTCAGAGTGCCTGTTAAATCAGAATACAGTAAAACCTTTAATTAACAAACTCCATTTAACAAATTTCAGAAGCTATGAGCAAAAATATGGTGAAACATTGAAATCATCAGACAAAATGGACAGAGTGCATAGATTCTATAATTTGTCCATTGTGAGTGTAAATACTGTCAGGAAGTCTTCTAAATCAAAGGACTAAGACTAATGATTCTGACATTTGTCCAGTACAATTCAAAGTGTCCTTGTCCAAGACCTGTCTACTGTCATTGTTCCCAAAACCACAGGCCACCCACGTTCGCTTGTAGATACACCTTGTCATTCGGCCTACAATTTCCCCTGGATTTACCAAGTTTTGAGAGACTATTAATATACTAAGTAAAGTGCAATTAACAATGGCTTCAATAGCAAGTAGTGGTGTCAAGAGGATGCATGTAAATCTCAGTGTTAAGGTGAAACTTTAATAAGAAAGGTTCAATGTTGCATCTCCATGGCATGAGTGTGTGACAAACACGGTGTTAAGAAACTGTCTGATAACTGTAGAAGCAAGGACAAACTTATCAATTATATTCTTAAATTTACTGTAGATACTATCCATCTACTACTACTGTGCCATTTACAATTTCACTAGCAGAGCTTTACAATAACTCTGACTCGGAATAAAAGTTATTCTGATATACCACTACCGAAAAGCACTTAATGCCTCATCTTTTTATGACATAAGGAATGTAAAATTAATATACTATCCTCTACTGTGCATGAGAGTACTACTGTACTTTCAATTTCATTTTCTTTACAATTCCTGTACAGTGCTATACTGTTTTACAGATTACAATATTTCTAGTATCCAGTAGTCACTGGAATCTACAGATGAAGTCCACTGATTCCAAACTTTATCCATTTTTTTTTTTAAGACACTGATCATCTACCACTGAGGTGGGGTAACCTAAAAAAGAAGAAACACTGTCACCATCACTCATTCCATCACCGTATTGCCAGAGGTGCACTGACATTACAGCTCAGATGCCCCTTCAAACTGCAACATCCCCTAACCGTCCTTCAGAGTGCAGGCACTGTACTTCCTACCTCCCCATTTAGTTACACGCATGAAAAATAAATTTTACAATTCAGAATCCACCGACAGTCAACAATAATGTACACCCTCTCCCCCTTAGTAGCCTGTTAATTTGAGGGTTCACTAATGTTCAAAATAACAGAAAAAGCACTTAAGTACTCTACTGTATACTTAAAATAGCTATATACACAATTTACAGATAGAGGAATTAAAAGTACACTTAACCAAGTGTAGTTTACCTGTTGTTTCACAAGTCCATTATATTGAGTGTTTACTGTATTGTATTACTGTATTGAAAAATGAATAACTACTTTGTGTTTAAGTTCCATGAACCATTAATAGATAAACCAAAAGCAACCTGCCTGTACAAGTTTTTTTTTTTTACCCAGTTTTACTTTTATTTTCACTCTCTGGTGCTCATGAACACTTGCTCTCCCTTGCTGACTCATTAAGTAGACCCCAAGCATCATTCTGTACAGCCAGGCAGGAGAGCTGATAGAGTGAGGTGCTGGAGACTGGACTGTGAAACCCTTCACAGAAAGCAGTTTCTTCATTGTTTTCAAGTGTTATACACTGTACATTAGTGTGTGTGTTCAGGTTCAATGAACCACTAGTAGAAATCCAGTTACTAGTACCCAAAACCATGGCAGAGACAGTTAAAGACTATGAAGAACACAGAGTGCAGAGCACTGAGACTAGAACACATAACCTGTGATATGGGTGATTTACATCACAGAATTGTTAGACGAGAGCAAAGGATCCATTATACAGGTCCTGGGTATCTAGGAAGGGTATTTTGTACAAGCTGGTCTCCCAGATAGCAGGCAAAATGCTGATCACTGAAACTGGTAGCAATCAGCATTGTAGAGCCAAATGGAGGGATAACTGTCATACCCCTATGGAGAAGGAGAACTAAATCATCAATCTTATTATCAAAGTCAGGAACAGATGTCCTGGAGGTAGGGTACAAGCTAAGAAAATGAAACATCACACAACTGATTATATCATGTGGGTCATATGAAGACTGGTAAAGTAACACCAAAGGAAAATCTGTTGGCAATCTGTTTCTCCAGTGGAACCACTGATCACAGCTAGGCAAGGTCAAGCTGAATTCCCAATCAAGGCAACCATGGGGTTAGAGTGAGTTTGAATATACAGATACAGACGAGGAACCCCAGAGTCCAAAACAACTTCTCATCTGCACCAAAGGCGGCAGATATTATGAGTGAAAACAAGTCTACAGTACCACCATGATGTAGTCAAGAAATAATTGAACAGGGAAAAGTGAAGGTCATGAGAATCTTGACAAACTTGGGTGAAGAGCCAATGGACTGTCACAAGACCCAACAGCACTGCCACGAATGAGCAGTTGTGCCCAGTAGGTGGAAACAGAAGTTAACTGAAATTCCTGGTGAATAATCATGTAGTGACTTTCCCAGTACAGAGCAAATAAAAAATACACAGGGAGGTTCAACAGAGGGTATGGCTCCTGTGGAAATGAACACAAACAACACTTATGTTACAGATTGAGCCAAGGAAGCATAGAAAGCCATCCACACTGAACAATGTACCTAGTGCCACCTCCTAACATCCAAATGACTTGTTTGGAGAAAATACATTTATGGAAACAGTGCCCTTCCTGTGGTGGGAGCCTCTTGACTGACCTGTGATCCAGATCACTGGAGGAAGTCCAGTGCAAAGGTGTGTGAGACGAAATGATTTTCTTTGAAAGTCACATTGAGAGTCAAAAAGAGATGGTGAGGGTGGTGTAAGAGAGAGAATCCCAAGCCAGGAAAACTTGTGCAGTAATCCTAAACATACCCCAACCTGTTGATGAGCCAAAGCCACTCTCAGCTATGAAATCATATTAAGCATCAATTTTTGTACTGGCCAACCAAAGAAATATCAAGAATGAATGAAACTACCAAAATTAATGAGCTAGAAAATCAAAGTATCTTCAGACAAAATGCAGTAAAATGCCTCCATGAGGAGTAACAGTAGAAATATTAACTTTCACAGTCCAAATGAATGCAGGATTGAACTTCTAAATCTTTGTCTAGATGTGGCAAGCAGTGTATAAGGATACTGGAATGACCCTAGCACAAAATGTGAGGGAGGGATAAACCTGGAGTGGCCAAGTCACAAATAACCCACATTTGTTCCAGCCACAGTATATTATGGCTTGGAAATAGGCCTGAATACCAGTGGTATCGCCACTGCTATCATGAATGGTAGGATGTCATCTTCACAATTCTGATGCATATAAGTAGTGATCTGGGTCATACAAGGCCTTATCAAGTGCTCAGATGAGGAGCTAGTGTGTTTTTGTGCTGGCCTGTGCTTGGGTTACTAGCTGTGAAGGAGAGCTATCACTAGGCATAGAAACTGTCAAACGATCATCTACCATAAAATACAGAGATATCACTGTGAAGAAAGAGTGAAATACTGAGTGTAGAATAGACCTTTTTTGAGATTACATTATATGTAGATGGGAAGAAGATTTAGGTGGTGTTCATATTTTGAAGCCATTGATAACGCACTCAACACTAAGAGTTCATGTTCCCACTGTAGGTCCAGTTAAGCACACTGAACATGGCATTCTGAGAAGAATGAAAAATCTGTGTTAGGCAATAAGAATGTGGATCATTGTTCTTCAGGAAAGGGAAGCAAGCTGAATGTTTACATATAAAATGAAAATTATCCTTGTTAAAAAATGTCATCAAAGAGTGAAACAAGCAGCTGTATGGAGGTTAGGACCTTCATTGTAAATCAGCAAAACAAGTGCACATGCACAGGAGACAGTGAGTATGTGAATAATTATTTGAAAACTGATCTAAGGACCTATTACTAGTGCTACTTAATTACATTTTGGGAAGACTGCTAAACAAATAAGGGTCATAAAGAACCAAGAAAATGGGAGGCAATGAGATTCAGTAAAAGGAAAGGGAGGGGAGGGTACTACAAGTATCATAGATATACTCACAGACTGCATTTCTTTTAGTGCTTCTCAGAGCTTACACACAAAATTGATATGTACAACAACAAAAATTTCAGGAAAATTCTTGAAAAAAGGCCCATCAAAATAAGCAAACTGCTGTTCTGTTAACAATGAGTACATTACTATATAAAAGAAAGCATATAGCTCTTCTAATATTGTCACATCAAGAAAGGGTTTTAAACAGGTGTATGAAACCAATTTTCCAATAGCTTAAACTTTAGAGGATGCTTTGATTACATCAGTTCATCCTGGACTCTCATCAATGGTTCTGGATAGACTTAGTAATCTAGTTTTGCTCTTAGGGTAGGATTATTTTTGAATTGTTCCAGCCATGTTATTCTGACTTGTTCTTCATTTAATGTGTTTCACCTACTAGTTTATTATTCCTAAACCTAACTTCATAATAATGCTTAGGAATGAAAGGCTGTCAAGAAATGCAATCTTACTCACCGGCCATTCTGAGACATCTGTTCCCTGTCAGTTTCTTGGCGGCTTCTTCCAGTTTCTTTCTTAATTTTGTGCTTCCTACGGTCATCATCTGATCTCTTGCTGGTCTGCTCTCTACTAGTATCTTCATCCAAGTCCATTTCTACTTTGATGTGCTTGTTAGCATCATACTGAGTATCATCCTCCTCATCCCACTTGCTTTTCACCTGCCTGTGATAAAACAGGGTCATTAATAATTCACTGCACCTCTAAAAATTAATAATTTATGTGCTGAACATAAACAGTGAAACTAAGCTGTCAAACAAATCATTAATAAATTTAAACAGGAGCATGTAAGATAGGAGTGGAGGCTGTCGGAGTGAGCAAGGTAACATTTTGTGAAAAGGGAATCAAGGAAACCAGTTAGTTGTACTTGATTCCTGGAGGTGGGAAGTACAGTGCCTGCACTCTGAAGAAGGAGCAGGGAATATTTACAGTTTCAATGGGCATCTGAGATGTAGTATCACCATGCCTCTGGCAAGATAGCGACAGAGTGAATGATGGTGAATTTTTTTTTTTTTGTCTGATCATCCTACCTTGGTGGGAGATGGCCAGTTAAAACAAGCCCAATTAACAAGATTACTAACTTTAGTAATACTAAATTCAACATTTAATCTATTAGAAATAGAGCATATAACATGTATAAAAATCTACTTGTTAATAATTATTTTTTGAGATTAATTATCCAAACAAACATTAATACAGAGAAATTAACTACTGAAAAAAAATCCCATGATACAAAAATCAAAGCATAAACAATCAAAATTAACAAACAAAAGCAAATGCTTCTGAAATACAGTATTCAATACCAGAAACTTCCAATTTGTTTTTTAATACCACACTTATATCCTACTATGGAGGGATAAAAAAAAAATACATTCACCATCATTTATTCAATCTTAAAAGCAGTGAACAGACATTGTAATTCAGATGTAAAACCCTCTGAACTGCAACATCCTCACCCCTCCTTCAGTGCATAGGCACTAAATGTCCTGCCTCCAGGACTCGAATCCAGCTAACTGGTGTCCTTGAATCCCTTCAGAAATGTTGCATTCCTCACGTTCAAGCATATCAAGCCATGAAAACCACTTTTCTCCACTCTGATTTAACATATTTGCAGAAGCCTGCAGGATGCTCAAGCCCCAAGCACTCAACACCTATATTGTCTTCGTCTTTCCTCTTGGGATAACCCATACCCCTCCTATATTCCATTTCAGATTTATACACCTTCTTTGACACCCTATTTTGCTCTATCCTTTCTAAATGCCTAAACACTTCAGTAAGCATGAGTGCAACAAACAGTTCCTTACCTCTGAGTATTTATCACTTACATATTTCAAAGCAAGCAGTGTAAGCTCTTCCTCAATCCTCCTTTTTCCTCTGCAATCCTACTCTGCCTTTTACATGAATGGTATACAATACTGACAAGATGAAAATCAGACATGTGCAGCATCTGAGTATCTTTATTGTAGACGTTTTGCCATCTAGTGGCTTTAACAATACAAATTCAAAGCCATAATTGGAAGACAGTAGAACCACATACAAAAGATGAGATAATCAATCTCTCAGCCTTGGAGTTGAAGAGCACTGTAGTCGTGAAGGGTATACAATAAAGATACCAAGATGCTGCGCATGTCTAATTTTCATCTTGTCGGTATTGTATACCATTCGTGTACAACTTGTCAGACACTGCAACATCATGAAATCTTGGTTCAGAGGACATCTCCACAACCTTCTTTATTACTACTGGCCCATCCTTCAGGTATGACCTGCTTCCACTGGGAAATCCTACCTACCAGAGATAATGTCTTCACCTGCTACCCGTCCCTTACCACCTGATGCCGGTATATAAGAGCCAGCCTTCTTGCCTGTGCTCCAGACTCTTAATGACTACAGTGCTCTTCACCAACTCTAAGGCTGAGGGACTGATTCCCTCATCTTTTGTATATGATTCTATCTTTCAATTATGTCCTTGAAAAAACCATACCACAGGCAGGGTTAGAACCCGCTATAAGAGAGCCATAAAACTCAAGACCAATGCACTAGCCACTGGGCCAGCTGGCTACATTGAGATTCATCCAACTAGGTACTGTATATTTATACACCACAGGAATATACCTAGTTGGAAGAATCTTAATGTAGCCAGCTGGCCCACTGCCTAGCGTGTCGGTCTGGAGTTTTGTGGCTCTCTTACAGCGGGTTCTAACCCCGTCCTTGTTATGGTTTGTTTGCAATCGTATTATTACAATTTGTATTGATAAAGCCACTGGATGGTGAAATGTCTACAATAAAGATACTCAGATGTTGCACACTTATCAAATTTTCTACTGTCTTACCCATGACTCCCTCAAAATTAATTATACCACATAATTTTTAAAAAGTATATCACAAAGTTTCATGCAAGGCCCTACTAAAGACATTTTGATGACAAATGAAAGTAAAAGACCAAAAAATGATCATGACATGTACTAATAGGCCAGATCTGAGTACTGGAGGTGGGAAATACCCTCACTCTGAAGGACAGTAGGGACATTGCTGTTCAGAGGGTTATTTGAATTGTGAAAGCTGCATACTTCTGGTAAGACACCTATAAAATGAATGATGGCAATGTTTCCTAATTTATTTTACTTTGCTTTTAAGGGAGATGACCAACCTTACAATTTTTTATTACTCACTGGTGTGGTGAATTACTACTTGTGTATGTGGCAGTAGATCATCCCCCCCCCCCCCTCCAATCTGCTAACTGCAAGACACACACTTTGGTGCAAGAAATATTAGATTAACAAACCTGTGACCAAGGGCAGGGCTGCATGGGTTCTTCTACCCATGCAGCCCTGCTGAAGTCTATTAATTCAAAACATTTCTGATATACTGTCTTGTAACTTACTGCTGAATCTGAACTACATACAAAATACAGTACTGTACAACACACTTTCATACTGGTACAGTATTTGTAAGATATACAGTATATTTTATCAACATACTGTATATGTCATTGTAATCAGAGCATTTCAAAACGCAGAATGGGCAGGATTTGAACCCAAAGCAAGCGAGTCCTAAAACTCCAGGCCAGTACATAAGTATTGGCCATAGGTTCAAACCCCACACGTTCTGTGCTTTGTTTGCAATCATCTTATTACAACTTCATAAGTCACAGCATTTCATTGTCATTCACAGCAAAATTCCTTAACAGTGTTTTATTATGGGTTTAGTTTGTTACTCTTCACAATGGCACAAGAAACTCTCACCTTCATGCAAGACAGTTTACCAAAGGGAAAATTTTTTTTTTCTTTTCATATTACAGTGCTCATCATAAAATCATTATATTAACCCTTTGACTGTCGAAGGGCCAAATCCTGAAGTTGCTTCTGGTGTCGCAAAATATTCGAAAAAAAAAAAAATTATTTTTTCTTATGAAATGATAGAGAATCTTTTCCCGATTGTAAAGACACCAAAAAAACGAAATTTGATGGAAAACTGACGGAATTACGCTCTCGCGAAGTTAGCGACTTCGGCGATATTTAAAAATCGGCAATTTCGCCCACTTTGAGCCCTATTTTTGGCTAATTCCGTTATTCCAGTCAACCAAACTCATAACTATTTCTTCAGAACTCTATTTTTTCTATCGATTGAGTACAAGAAACTGCCCATTTACCGATTTCAACTACCCAATAACATGGTCAGAAATTTGCAATTTGGCCAATTTCACGAAAATTAAAAAATACGACAATTTCAAAATAAGGTCCAGAATGAACAATGCAGACATTCCTGGCTCTAAAATAACATTTTCTTTGTTCATCAGTCATGTCTCCAGGTCCCTGTGATATTACTCTTGCTTTTTATTTTGAAATTTTATTCAAACAAAAAATAGAAGATTTACTGTTATGCAGACTACTGCAATACTGTAATAATTGTAAAAATTACATCAACCCATTCATGACTGCGTATTAGAATGGCTATTTGGACATTTATTGGACAATGACATCATTTGTTCACTTTTGAACATCGGCAAAAATCAAACATTTCCTGTACTTTGTGCTCCATTTCCAGTTCTTTTTATAGTAAAATTAATCAAAATCACCTCCATTTCTATAATATAGTTTCCATTCTATCAAATGAGACCAAGAAAACGAGAATACAACCACAAATACTATACGAAAATAGACCACAAAGTCGGCATTTTAATTAAAAAAAACGGTCGGAGTTTTTTTTTTCTCATTATGCACTGCGTGCTCCAGGATTTTTTTTATGTGGTGCACACTGACCACACAGACCCATTCTCTCACATGTGGGCCTACTAGCTTTCTCCTGCCTGATTTGAAGCCGCTAGAATTTATGAGTATATATACGTCAAACACGGTACCTCGCAAACGTATATATACGGCCGCGACAGTCAAAGGGTTAAATAGGTATCCTAATGTGCAAATCATTATAAAGCAATATTCACTTCTCATCAACAGATAAACAGGACTATACATTTTTATAGTTTGCAGGTTAATATATACTCAGAAGTTGTTTACATGGGCTGCCTTCCCTTCCCCCCACATGACTATAACTATTAAATACCTGCCATTAAATAGTTTAATACAAAAACTATTTCACTGAAATAAACCACAAACCTGCTCTCATATCTATCTTTCTGTTTTCTTTCTTCTCTCTTATCTTTTCTTTCAGTACCTTTGTCCACTCTCCTCTCCCTTTCTGATTTGTCATATTCCAGCCTATCTTTATATTTTCTTTCTTCACCATCTCTTCCTCTTCTCACTTCAGTTCTCTCTACAGATCCTTCTCTCCTTCTCTCTTGCCGCTCTTCACTGCGATGGTGTTTGTGGTGTCGATGTTTGTGTTTGTGCTTGCGATGATGTTTGTGTTTCCGACTATTATGATGCTTTCGGTCATCTCTAGCTTCATAATCATCTGTGTACCTTTCATCTACTTCACTTCTGTGTTTCGCATGCTTCGTTCTCTTCTTTTTTTCTCTGGTATCATCATTTTCTGTTTCCTCATCCTCACTTCCACCACTTGTACTTTTTTTTAATCTTTTCTCTTTTTTAGGCTTGGAGCCTTTCTTTTTCACTCTCTTCTTTTTTCTCTCTCTTTCAGTGCTGGTACTGTTTTCACTGTCACTGGACCCAGAACCGCTGCTGCTGCTACTTGAAGAACTATGACTCGAGTTACTTGTGTACCCATACGACTCCATCTCATCTACTTGGTAATCTCTCTTATTCTGAAAGATAGCATCATCATAGAAGTATAGTCATAAACAATATACAACCAGTTCTTGAGACTGTTTTAAAAAATTCATATTGATATTTCCACTAAAGCAATATTTTATAAAAAAAACACTCATTTGAATGACTAGGAAAATTAAATAGCCTGCCTCTTTAAACTTGAAAAACTTATAGTAACCTGACCTCTATAAATGGCAGTGCCATAAACAAGATCAAGCAATTTATAGATTACCACTGACTTGGACATGAAATACTGTATGCGAATACTAAACTGGCCTTCAACCATATTAAAGTTTGGAAATGATGGAATTGGCTAGGATTCTGTAATTTACCATGCTTCTTCATATAATTATACTAAAGTATCAAATTAAATAACTAATTTGGAATTGTCAAAAAATATATTATGGTAACAGTAACACACATGATAACACAGCACTGCTCTCATTTTGTGTTCAAACATCCCTTGGCATTCTAATATACATTTATTCAAGCTTCCTTTCAGTCTTTCTTTCAAATCTTTAAAAATCTGCTTTAATACTTTACAATTTTTCTAGAGGATTGTAACTTAAACATCCATATGTCTGTAATTAGGCATTTTAAGTTGGTTTGTTTGAAATAACTCTCTACGTTGTTTTGCAAGACTTCATAGAAATTAAGCCTTTTGTTATAAATCTTTTCCAAGCCATATTGCAAATAACTGTACTCTAGAGACTAGGGTGACCCAGAGGCCAGAGAAGGCTGGAGACTAGTGCCACCTCAGGCTACAGCAGTCTGGAGACTCACTGTGGTCCTCAGATACCCCAGCAGTCTGGAGAATCACTGTGGTCCTCAGATACCCCAGCAGTCTGGAGACTCACTGTGGTCCTCAGATACCATAGCAGTCTGGAGACTCACAGTGGTCCTCAGATACCACAGCAGTCTGGAGACTCACAGTGGTCCTCAGATACCACAGCAGCCTGGAGACTCACAGTGGTCCTCAGATACAACAGTAGCCTGGAGACTCACAGTGGTCCTCAGATACCACAGCAGTCTGGAGACTCACAGTGGTCCTCAGATACCACAGCAGTCTGGAGACTCACAGTGGTCCTCAGATACCACAGCAGTCTGGAGACTCACAGTGGTCCTCAGATACCACATTATTATTATTATTATTATTATTATTATTATTATTATTATAATCGAGGGGGAAGCGCTAAACCCGGAGGATTATACAGCGCCTGAGGGGGGGATGTGGAAGGCATTCAGGCTTAATTTGGGGAACTGGAGCACAGATCCAATTCCCTAAATCAAGAGCCCCTCACCAACATCAAGGAACCTTCCTTGAGGGGTCAGATACCACAGCAGTCTGGAGACTCACAGTGGTCCTCAGATACCACAGTAGCCTGGAGACTCACAGTGGTCCTCAGATACCACAGTAGTCTGGAGACTCACAGTGGTCCTCAGATACCACAGCAGTCTGGAGACTCACAGTGGTCCTCAGATACCACAGCAGCCTGGAGACTCACAGTGGTCCTCAGATACCACAGTAGTCTGGAGACTCACAGTGGTCCTCAGATACCACAGCAGCCTGGAGACTCACTGTGGTCCTCAGATACCACAGTAGCCTGGAGACTCACTGTGGTCCTCAGATACCACAGTAGCCTGGAGACTCACAGTGGTCCTTAGATACCACAGTAGTCTGGAGACTCACAGTGGTCCTCAGATACCACAGTAGTCTGGAGACTCACAGTGGTCCTCAGATACCACAGCAGCCTGGAGACTCACAGTGGTCCTCAGATACCACAGCAGCCTGGAGACTCACAGTGGTCCTCAGATACCACAGTAGCCTGGAGACTCACAGTGGTCCTCAGATACCACAGTAGTCTGGAGACTCACAGTGGTCCTCAGATACCACAGTAGTCTGGAGACTCACAGTGGTCCTCAGATACCACAGCAGTCTGGAGACTCACAGTGGTCCTCAGATACCACAGCAGTCTGGAGACTCACAGTGGTCCTCAGATACCACAGTAGCCTGGAGACTAACAGGCGGGGCCAGGAGCTGAGTCTCGACCCCTGCAACCACAATAAGGTGAGTGATGGAGACCAACACTGAACTTTGAACTCTTATCATGGCATGAACAACCTTGAGCAATATCGGACATTAAATATATCAAAAGTCCTAACGCTCGGCAAAATGACAAATAAACTTAGAATAAAAGATGTTAAACTACCAGAAAGATTAAAAAAACTAGAATTATGAAGTAAAAACATAAACAATGCCGAGAGATGCAAAGTGAGGAAAACGCAGTTATATATTGCACCATAACCTGGCTGATGGCTCTTTTATGGGAGTTTTATAACCCGGTGTGAGGTGGGTGTTGTATGAAGGGTTGTAGAGGAGCCTGAGGTGTATTACCTTGCCCATTATGAGGTGTAAGAGAGGATAATAACAACATGGACTGCCACTGTTGCTGCTCCTCCAGGTAAACAACCACACCATCTTAACATTCTCTTATCTTCTCTAAAATTGTCCCATTTTTCACTTATCTTGTAATTTTATGCTTTTATAATTTATTTTATTTTACTTAAAAATATTAATTTTTGTTATATTGAGGAAGAAACTACGATACTTAACTTTCTTTCTTCTCTAAAATTATGTCCGTTTTCACTTCTGTAATTTTCTATATTTACATTTTATTTTACCCAATACAAAATATTATACTATATCATTTTGAGGAAAATAATTTAAATTAGGAAAATAATTCATTATCCAGGAAGACGTATCTTTTTGTCGACATTATATATATATCACAATACCAAACTTATTATGCAATATTTTATAAATTTAGGCATGAAAAAATCCTTTAAATTATATTTAATATATAAAATCATGTATTAGATGTATTAGTTAAGTATATTATTGATAGACAAGATCGAGAGGAAGGAGAGTAGACATGTCTACAGCTGATCTCTGTTTTATAACATAATCTACCACAATGGTGACTATATCAACATTTATTACTCATATAGAATTTACGTGTACAGTATCTGTCTCTGGCGAGGTTATTATAACTTTGTTTTACTCGTGTGAGGGAAAAAACAAACTAAAGACTACGATGAGAATATCACTCCAACGTTTATGGAATCATACGGGTTTAGCGCTTTTTAATATATTTTTTTTATATTTTCATATAATAATAATAATGTTGAATTATCTTAGGTTAAATATGCATAATTTCTCACAAGTGTGACGAAGTTATTACATAGACTTGCCTGTTTTTTTTTTTTTTACTTAAATTTAAAATTCAAAATTCAAATTTTTATTCTTTTTTATGCATTACAAAAATAATGTAATTTACACGTAATAAAACACTGGTAGGCAGACAAGACAGCCACTAGCAGTGTATTTCAGGCAAACTAATTCATATTTAATATTAATAAAATTATTGAAGGTGTTGACATTAATTAGTACGTGTATTTAGGTACATGTACGCACAATACTATGATCGTACATACCAACATATGTATATATATGCAAAACCACAGGGGTGGGAGATGAGTCATAGCTCTAGGCCTTTCGTATTGTAGCCAACACGTCATCAGGAGCTTGCAATGTTGCAGAAATGAATAACAGTCCGGACAGAATCGTTCAAGGAAACGACTCTCTGGAGATAATCATTTCCTTGATCAAATCTACCTGAGCTTCCTATTAATTTCTAAAATATTGCAAGCTCCTGATGGTGTTGATTGCAACACAAAAGGTCTAGAGCTATCACTCGGCTCCTACCCCCAGGGTTATTTTATTGCTCGTTCCCGATTATTGCATAATGTATACACATGTAAATTACCTGTGATAGCCATAAAAGTCAAAGTTACTTATTTCCATCGGAAGCCTTGTAATAACTTGACTCACAAAACCGTAATGACACGATTGCAAACAAACCATATCACAGGTGGGGATAGAACCCGCGGTCAGAGAGTTTTGTGACTGATCGCGGGTTCTATCCCCGCCTGTGATATGGTTTAATAACTTGTTATTTTGTTAAGATTAGTAACCCAGGATAACCCAGAATAGCTCAGGATAACCCAGAATAGCTCAGGATAACCCAGTAAACCAGATTATCATTGAGCACCAAAAATACTGACCTACAGTATTGTTGGTGTGTACTACAGTTGACTGACTTAGCTCATTTAACTTTATAGTTTAAATAATAAGACATTACAAGGACCCCAATGGAAACAAGTCACTTTGGATGACTTTTTTGAAGGGTTATCCTATATAATATACACTATGTATGATAATTGTCCTATGTGTACCTGTAACTAAATAAACTTTTAACGTAATTGCATTTTGTATTCTGTTTATGAAACTGTATTCTTGTATTCTGTTTATAAAATTCTGTTCTTGTGCTTACAGGTCATTAATGCTTCCTGATATTTCTTTAAAAAAATGATCTAATTGTATATTTTAAGCTCTAGAAACATTATTTCGAGTTATAATGCAGATTATTGTTTGGAAAATGGAACTTGCTTAGTAATTTGTTCCTTTGTGTGTCTTGATGTAATATGCTTTGTTTCTGTATCATTTCATGGCTCTAATACATTTTTTTCCCCCCAACAGGCAAGGAATGCAGAAAAGGCTATGTAAGTATTAATTACAGTGCAGTACTGTAATGATTAAGGTAATTTCTCGGTTATTTTCATCTGTGGTTCAGACTTTTAGCTTGCTGAGTTGGAATTTGAACAAGCATTGCATATTTTCCTCCTCTGAACTATTTTATTTAAAGATCTCTCACAATCTTAATTTTTTTATTTAAAGCAAATTTACAGGCTAAGATCCACTATCTCTCCTTGGCTCATTTTAAAGCTAATTATCCTAGTGAATGAGATAACCGAGCAAGAACAAAAACATTGATAACTGGGAGTGAAATCTACCATCAAAAACTACAGTTCAAAATATAAAAACCCAAATTAACTCCCCATTGACAAAAGTAGATAAAAATCCCACATACTGGAAGAAATTCAGTGATGCTCAGTTACCTCATCTGAATAAATAAATAGATCAAATTGAATATCAGCAGACTGATGCTTTTGTGATAAATGATTTAATGTTTCCAACAACTATTACACAATTGTGATGAATGGTTTGAAAAACCGACAAGTTGAAGATTGAGACACTTATGCAACATATGGGAATCTTTATTCAGGAAACGTTTCGCCACACTAGCTTCATCAGTCCAATACAAAGCAGAAACGTGTAAGGAGAGTAGGAGTTTGAGGTAATCAGTCCCTCAGCCTGGAGTCGATGTGTTCAGTCCATCAATCTTGTAGAATGTACAGCATAGGGCCGTAGATGTGGCTTATATACTGTAGTCAGACACTGCAGCATCATGGGATCTTGTTACAAAGAATTCTTCTACACTTGTCCAACCTTTGGACGAAGACCTACTTCGACTAGTGGATGGTACCACTATGACCCCGCCTCCTCCTGTTTCGCCTCACCTGACTACAGTATATAAACCACGTCTATGGCCCTATGCTGTACATTCTACAAGATTGATGGACTGAACACATCGACTCCAGGCTGAGGGACTGATTACCTCAAACTCCTACTCTCCTTACACGTTTCTGCTTTGTATTGGACTGATGAAGCCACTGTGTGGCGAAACGTTTCCTGAATAAAGATTCCCATATGTTGCATAAGTGTCTCAATCTTCAACTATAACACAAGATTCCTGCCCTTGAAACCACTTCTAAGCAGAGACCTGGTTAAAACAACCTTACCAGCATATTCATCATACCTGGGGTATACAACTATCCACAACTGTAAAGCAAACAAAAAAGGTGAAGGTGTTACTGTTGTCTATGCTGATAAACACCATTGATGGCTATGGTGAATATGTGCTTTCTTAATTCGCAAATAACCCACACATAGGGAGAAGCTTATGATGTTTCGGTTTGACCTGGACCGTTTATAAGTCGGTGTAAATGGTCCACATCGGACCAAAACGTCATCGTAAGCTTCTCTCTCATATGTGCGGGTTATTTATGTATTGCTCCAGTCATGGTACTGTGCCATTTTGTTCTTTGTTCAGTTCACCATAAAACAATCATGATCTAATAGTGCTTGAAGCAGCTTAAATCCTTCACACTAGTTTGCTAACCTTCATTAACAACCTGGGAAATATGATAACAAACTCAACAGAAACTATTTAATAACTGTTGGAGATTTCAACATTAATCTTTGCCAACTAAATAACACCCAAGTTTCAGGCATCATTAATAATATGTATGATTCCCTCCTGATACTCTCATCACTCATCATCACTAATCCACTAGAATCACTGGGCCAATATAATAGCATATCTTAATTTGAGGTATAATCCCAGATAGAACAATTGACCATTACCCTGCTGTAGACTATAATGATGAATTAAATACTTATCAGTGCCTTGATGAAAGAAAGCTAAATCTGTAATGTTAATTCTGGTGTCCAAAACTTCTTCAACACGCAAAACATCAGTAAATAATGCTCACAAAATTCCAAACAAATAATCACAAACATGCTAATTAACTCATTGCTTACAAAAGGTTTGCTCAAATCAGTTGATAAGAAACATAGTCTGGCCCTTCTAGCTATGGAAATATTATAACAGTTTTCTGCAACCCTCACAAGAATATTTAGTGCTGAGCCAATTACTATTATAATAGATTTAACAATTCCTTAGGACATAAATTATAAGTCCAGCAAGCTATAGAAAATGGTACTTAATAAAGTGACACCTAAACAGATATACGTATCAGTTATATCTCAGAGCACACACCCTGTTTTCCTGTTTTTTGTGGGGTTCATTATCTTATTTAATTTTTTAATCTGTGTATGTATACATGTATATGAATCTTAATGCCAGCTCAACACATTGTTTAAATTAGCAGAGTACCAGTAGATCATTTCAAGTACACCTACCATCTGACTTACGACCTGCTCGACATATGACCATTCGACTTACGACCATGTTTTTTATGCCAGATTTCTGGGAAACAACTGTTTGTGTTGTACACAGTGTTTATCCTAAACCTTACAGTATAAAATACAGTACTAAGAGCATAAAAAGTAAAATAAAAAATGAAGTACCAAAATAAAGCAATAAAATAAAATCATTACAAAAGTGTGACGTTGATATTCGGTAGTAAGGTTCAACTTACGTCCATTTTGACTTATGACCGGTTGGTCAGAACCAAACTTTGTCGTAAGTCGGATGGTACCTGTACATGACAACCTAGAATCTGCAAAAATACATTTGAGAAGTCAGCATGGCCTTGGTCTCGTGTAACATTTCTGACCATGTTTAACCCTTTGACTGTTTTGGTCGTATATATACGTCTTACGAGCCACTGTTTTTGACATATGTATACTCATAAATTCTAGCGGCTTCAAATCAAGCAGGAGAAAGCTGGTAGGCCCACATGTGAGAGAATGGGTCTGTGTGGTCAGTGTGCACCATATAAAAAAAATCCTGCAGCATGCAGTGCATAATGAGAAAAAAAACTGGGACTTTGAAATGCTGACTTTGTGGTCTATTTTCGTATATAGTATTTATGGTTGTATTCTCGTTTTCTTGGTCTCATTTGATAGAATGGAAAACATATTATAGAATTACAGTGGGACCTCAAATATCGAACTTTCTTCGGTCCAGAAGTCTGTTCGACTGCCTTTACTGAATGATTTTATTCCCATCAGGAATAATGTAAATTAGATTAGTCCATTTCAGACCCTTAAAAATGCACTTATAAAAGCACTTACAAAAATACACTTACATAATTGGTTGTGTTGGGAGCAGTTTGATTTTTGAGGTTCCACTGTAGAGGTGATTTTGATTGGTTTTACTATGAAAGGAACCTTAAAATGGAGTTTAAAGTAGGGGAAATGTTTGATTTTTGCCGATGTTCAAAAGTAAACAAATGATGTCATTTTCCAATAAATGTCCGAGTAGCCATTCTAATATGCAGTCATGAATGGTTTGACATTTTTTAAATAAAATTATTGCAATATTGCAGTAGTATGCATAACAGTAAATCTTCTATTATTTGTTTGAATAAAAATTCAGAATAGAAAGCAAGAGTAATATCAGAAGGGCCTGGAGACGTGACTGATGAACAAAGAAAAATGTTATTTTAGAGCCAGGAATGTCTGCATTGTTCATTCTGGACCTATTTTGAAATTGTCATATTTTTTAATTTTCGTGAAATTGGCCAAATTGCAAATTTCTGACCACGTTATTGGGTAGTTGAAATCAGTAAATGGGCAGTTTCTTGTACTCAATTGATACAAAAAATGGAGTTCTAAAGAAATGGCTATGAGTTTGGTCGACTGGAACAATGGAATTAGCTGAAAATAGGGCCAAAGGGGGCGAAATCGCCGATTGTAAATATCCCCAAGGTCACTAACCTCGCGAGAGTGTAATTTCGTCATTTTTCCCATAAAAATTTTGTTCTTTTGGTGTTATTACAATCGGGAAAAGATTCTCTATCATTTCATAAGAAAAATAATTTTTTTTTGGGGGGGGGGGGGGAGGAATTTTGTGACACCAGGAGACCCCTCAGGATTTGGGGTTGCGACAGTCAAGGGTTAATATACATGTATAATATATAGTATGATACAGTGCTGTAATTCTAAACCTTTCAATTTCATTTTAGTTTTTTGAAATATACTGTACTGTAATATTTAAAACCCCTTAAAACGTAATTACTTGAAGGCTTGCTCAAGATGAAATTTTTTTAGCGTAGGTTCTTTACTGTTTTTTTTTTTTATCAGCAGTTGGCTGCACCTTCAAAGACCAACAACAGTATATCTAACACATCTGCTAGAAAAATGTTTAGGACGGATAATGAGAACCTTCAAAGCTAGGGACGTCAAGCCATGATTGATTCTCATCAAATTGCTTGTTCTCCTTAGGCTGGAATACTGCTGTACACTGACTGACTCCTTCAAGGCAGGCAAAATTACTGACCTGCAGAACACATAAGTACGATAAAGCACCTAAATTACTGGGAATGGTTGAAATCCCTTGATTTTGTATTCTCTGGAATGCAGGCAAGAAAGATACATGTTTAATATACACTTGGGAAAAATTTTCTAGAGGGATTAATACCAAACTTGCACACGAAAATCACTCCCTATGAAAGCAAAAGACTCGGCAGGAGATGCAACATTCTCCCAATGAAAAGCAGAGGCCCCATGAGTACTCTGAGAGACAACACAGTAAGTGTCAGAGCCCCAAGACTGTTCAACTGCCTCCAGCATACATAAAGGGGATTACCAATAAACCCCTGACTGTCTTCAAGAAGGCGCTGGACAGGCACCTAAGTCAGTACCTGACAAGCTGGGCTGTGGTTCATACTTTAGTTTGTGTGCAGCCAGCAGTAACAGCCTGGTTGATCAGACCCTGATCCACCCCCGAGGCTTAGTCTCAGGACCGGTCTGCGGGGGTGTTGACTCCCGAAAACCCAAACCCAGGTAACTCCAGGTATCCCACTGAGGCAGGGTGACCTGAAAAAAAAAAATTTTTTACTGTAGATTGTGTCAGCTACATTTTTTACACAATTCACAGGACTACATTGGCACGGTGGCGAGCAGCACAGGA